CAACCCGTTTTATATCGGGGCTGCTCCGTAACATAACTATCTTCGGCCCTGCCTCTGATAAAATATTTGTAATTCCTCACAACTACAAACAGCAATCAGCAATCTTACAGAGAAAGGAATTTTCCCTTGATCTTAAAGTTAGACACAGAAACTAGGCTAAGTAAGTAGAGGAGTAATAGGTAGAAAACTCTTTGTTTAGATTAGGAGAATTCCTCCCTTCTTTGAGAGCTGGGGGCTAGGGAAGAGTCAATGCGGCTTGCCTGGCATTAACGCCCTCCAGGCCCTTGGTTCCTTAATATCAAATCAATATAAAAACAATATACTATAAATGATGATTTCTATATAAAAGCCTTCTGTTTTTTGCTTTAATTGTTTGGTTATATGTTAGTCTAAACTTTATAGGTTAGTTAGAAATAATCCCTTTGTTTCCCCCTCCCCCGGGTAACTTCCTGCCCTTTGTTTCCCCAGCCCTTAGTTAATCCTTCACTATGGCAAACATAGAAAAGTTAGTTGGCAGTCACATAAGCCTTTTGCTAGTAATAAAATGACTGGTTGTTTAAGGTAAATGGCTAGTCTAAGAACACTTTCGTTTAGCAAATGTGCCTTCTTTAAATCAAAAAATAATAAATGTCATGACCTCTGCAGGAGGGCAAATAAACCCTTGGCTGTTCCTGAGAAAGATGTGATTGTTATCTTCCTGCTCTAATGCATATGCTTATGCGCTCACAGTTTGCTTGAAATGTATAAATAAAGGACTGCTGAGACCCTCAGCAGGATGATGCCTGCTCCCTGATCAAGTGTCTCCTCATTCCCCCTTCCCCCCTCCTTCACAATTTTGCCCCACGCTGTCCCATCCTTCAGGAACCCCTGACACCCAGACTGCAGCGGCTGGTTCCCAGCACGATAGAATATAAAAGAAAACCTCAAATCCTTCTTCTTATATAGACGTGTATCTTCATCTTGCTCCCTGCTCCACTGCAGGATATTTCAATAAATCTGTCTTTTCTGTTATCAATTGCTTCTGGTAAATTCTTTCACCCCCATGCCTCTAGCTTCACCCTCATGTTACACTACCACATAAACCACTGGGAACTTTGAATCACAGTGAAACAAGGCTAGAGGGGTGCTATAGTCATCCAAGGACAGTGCCCAAGAGAACAGGTCACTGGGTTTTTACCTGCACGCATAATTGCAAAACCAGTCAAACTCAGAGATCTGCAGTAATGGGGCTTATTTAATAAACAAGGGAAACAAAAAGTTACTAAGGGTATATATGGCCTGTGATCTCAGTGTCCAGAAGCCCCAAACAAAAAGCTACTAATTCAAGATGGCACTGTCCCACTGTAGGGTAAGTAAAGTATCAGGCTTTCTTCTGCTCTCCCGCCATTAGGATTAATGATGGATCTGCGGTTCTGAATGCATGCCTGATGGCGGGCACCTGGAGTAGGTGTGGGCATACGTAGGTGGGTACACCTGGTCTGAGGGACTGGGCTTATAAGGGCAGCGTCACGGAGATGCCAGAGGAACAGCAGAGCGATAGGAGCAGAGAAGCAAAGGCCATAAGAGTATGCCGGAGAGCCCAGAGAGAGAGAAGACATGCTGGGGGCTGGGAGTCCTGCCAGCCTCCCGGCCCCCTGGTACCCCTGCCTGCCGTGTACCTGGTAAATCCCAATAAAAGCCTGCAAAAGCTACTGAGGGCTCCAGGACTCCTCCTTCACATGTCTGCTCTGTCAGAGAAAGCCTGAGATGAACCCCTCCTGCCGTTCCACCCACCAATGGAAGCCTGGAGTTCCTGGTGGCCAGACGTGCTCACAGGCAGGGCCACTAAGATGAGGCTGCAGCAGCCCACAGCAGCACTGTTGAAGGTTGGGATAAACTGCACCAGATGCTGGATCAGACAGCAACAAAGGCAGAAGCACCAGGCAGTGCTAGAGCATCTGATAAACAGCTCTTTGAGGCACCAGGCCCAGGGCCCTTGGTGTTTTCTCCAGGCGGTGGCAGGGGTAAGACCAGAGACAAGATCAGCCTCCTGGTAGCTGTAAAAACTCCTGGCTCCTCTCTTTAGAGGTCAGCTGCTGAACCTTCTTTCTGAGGCAAGTACAGTGTAGGAGTCTGGGAGTTGGCATCCAGGAAATTGGAGTATGTGGGGAGTCTGGGCAGGATTTCAAGCTGGCTCCTGCCTTCTATTCCATTCTAGGGTCCCCCACCCTAGATGATACTTCCCACTGGATCATTCAGCCCGGCTGGCCCCAGGGAGAAACTGCCCACAGGCAGCAACTTTTGGTGAGGATGGGTAAGTCTGCCAAGTTTTTCTAATGGTTCCCGTTGCCAGGCAGCAGTCAGAAAACACCAGTCTTGCTCTGCAGACCACACTGCAGGGTCCTGGTTATACCATTGTTATGAGCTTTAAGAGAAAAGCATTTTATTGGCATAGGGTATATAAAAGGTATCAAGTGTTTCCGCCCTCCCACCATTACATTAAATGCATGCCTGATGGTGGACACCTGGAGTAGGGTGCGGGCATACACAGGTGGGTGCACCTGAGCCAAAAGACTGGGCCTATAAGGCCAGGGCGGCAGTGGATGGCGTGGTGTGGCGTAAGGTGGAGTGTGGTGGAGAACATGAAAACAGCTAAAAACACCAACCTGCTTGAACCGGTAGTGAAGCTACCCGGTTTGGGATGGTTGCATTACAACTGGCAATGTAGTTACTCTGGGAAGAAGAAACAGGATAAATGCATACCTATCTAGCTTGGGTATGAACAAAACAAGGTAAACACTAAGTCACAAATGAGTGCATAGGTTTAGCCTTTAGGAGAAGTTACTGTCTGGTTTTGTTAGTTTGTTTCTGAGTTCAAGAGTTCTGTGGATCTTTGCAGTCCAGGTTTCCAAGGAAGAGGGGCTGAGATTCCGTCCCGTCTCCAATTAATTTCTAACAGATATGCCCACTAAATAGCATATTATTTTCTTAAATGTGAGTAAATAAGGAAGTTATTTATTTACTCTCAACATGTAAGAGAATGTCAGCCACTTTACTGTTGCTGAACATTTAGCTCACTGTTGAGCATTAAGTTGAACAAACAGCTAAGATTTTGAGAACACAGCCAGGTACACCATAGGGAAATCATTTGCTTGCAGTTAAAGGATCATTTGCACGTACCTCAGTTAACACTAGAAGCTGTTTCCCCTTCTTTCTGCCTAACAGGAATTCTGTTTGCCACCCTCACCCCACTATTCAGCAGTCAAAAAACGTAAACTCATGCCATTCATAGCAACCCAGCCCATCTTCCTTACTCCAATAGAGGCTCCCAGACACAGGTGTCCCCAAGAATCTTTTGGGGAATGTTTCACATCCCTTTAGTTGTCCCCCACTTCTTATGTGTGTACATCAACTCCCCAGAGAGCTAGCCACCTGGGTCCCACATGCTAGTTAACTCTGGCTACTTCTGACCCACAGCAAAAAAAGCCTTAAGACTGAGCATGTTTCTTATCTGCATTTGCTAGTTTTTGGTTCTTGTTTCCAGCTGAGGCAAACTGGCCTTTTCAGAACCATTTATTATGCCCACAGTCTGTATCAGACTCTGCCTAAAAGGAGGTTGGGAAGGGAATCACAAAGACGATACATATTCCCTACCCTCAGGTTATAGCCAAGTAGAGACCACCAAGAAACACCTAAAATACTGGGCTTTCTTTCAATGATTTTTAGCCCCTTGTAAAAGAACTTTGCAAGTAGGCAAGACAGATTACATCCAGATAAGGCCTTTGTTAGACCTGTGAAAAAGGGAGATAATACTGAGAAAGTTTTAGACTGGCTTTCTGAGGGAAGGGAGGAAAAATGGTTTTAAACGGTCTGTGTGCCAGTGATAAGTAGAGGGGAGCCGCATGCATGGGCCCCGCTGTACTGGGGCACATACAGGAGCTACATGTGCCTTCCTAGGTTGATGTCTCATTAGCATCTAGGCTCCAGCCAGGTGCTTGTGCATGCTAACAAGATACCAGTCACTCCCCATCAGGATTTTTACTAACTACGCATGCAGGACCCTCTACCATCCCCTCTCCAGGAAATTGCAAAACAATCATTAGTCAAGATAGGACACCTTTTGTCTGGTAGGGTGCCTTGGTCAGTCTGGTGGGCCAAGTTGTTTAAACAAGAGTTATACAGGATCTGCTAGTTCACGATTTAGTCCACCTGTTCAAACAGGACATTGGGCAACTCATCCTGTCAGCTCCCAATTTCGTTCACTGAGACTATGTCAGTAAGTACTGCAGAAAAGTGTAAATAAAGAGATAAGGAGAGAAACAAACAGAAGCAATAAATTCTTCTGGGAAAGTCATTGAAAGCAAAAAAGATAAGTTGGCTTGACAGGCTATGCAGAAGTTTGAGAAATAGGGAGTAGGAATTCACCCCAAGCCATGGGAAAAGATGAGGTGTACAAGTGGAGTTTGACTAGGTAACGGGAGACTTCTAGGTGTGTGTTTCCAGATCAGATTTGTGTTGGGAACATAATCCAATGGAACTGTGGATGCCCTTGTGGGTTTAGTAGACTTTACTGACAATTTGGGAACATTCTGGTAGGGGCTATCTTACCAGTGCACACCTCATCCTCATGTGACAGCTGACAGCTTCCTGGTCTCTCTCCTCCTATAGGGGCTCCACAGCCCTTAAAAGTTCCAGATTTTTATCCTCTTATTATGCAGAGCAGCTTCTCCACTTCTCAAGTCTTGGCTCCGGCCAATACTCAAGCCTACAGGCATATACTTCTATGCTAAATAATTATCAAAGTGTCTTTTCTAAATAAAGGCAGTTATTTTGTTAGAGACATTACATTATCGGCTATTAAAGGTAACATGAATTTCTTTTCACGCACAAGTCATCTATACTACCAGCAATATTCAAAAAATTTTACACCTAAAGGAAGTTATCCATGAAACATATTTATGCTTGAACAACACAAGGCAATATTCCCAAACTCATTTCAGCATTTCAACATTCAAAGTAAAATAACTACAGGACACCGTGTTAAACTTGTGTTTATAAAGGTTTATTTGTTACAAAATGTTAAATACTAAAGCTAAAAACATATAAATTCAGGTCAGGCTATATTAAAATACACACATACCCTTCTTTGCAAAATTATTAGAGGCTGAATTAAACAGATACTTTAAATAAAATAAAGTATTCTTGAGGATATTTTGTCTAACTATATCAGTGTAGTGTAGCTTTTAAATTATAGATGGAAAAGTTAGCTGTCTTGGAAGTCAAATTTATCCAATTCTTCAGTTTTCTGTTTCCTCCCAGTATAAAGCCACCATGCTGGCTTGGATAGGGTAAATTTCAGTTATGTCAAAACTTTCTACATTACAAGTCTAGTATCCTATAATAAGAACACAGAGTAGTCAGAAGTACACAAAGGGTTTATATAAGGTGAAAATCTGGCCTGGAAAGAAAAGGTCTTAACTCTACCATTCATTATCTTCTCTATAATTAAAATGATTGGTAAATACAAGGAAGCAGATTTCAGCATAAAGCATACATTCATCTAGAATTAATCTTTCAATTAAGAAAAAAACTCAAAAAGCGCACTCATTTCGCAAAGATAGCTTAGAAGTAGTTTTTAATGTCTTCTTATTTTAAACTGAGTGAATTCAAAAGTATTGAGGAGTCCGGGTTTAAAAATTAATTTGATAACTGTTGTGATTAGCTCGGGAGAACCAGGGTACCCACATCTGCAAGTCTGTCACACTCACAGGTGCTAACGAAGGTTCATAAAAACCACATGCTTAATCCCAACAGAGCACCAGCTTCCAAACCCAACCTCTACTCAGACACCTACAAGTGATCTACAGTCTATTCCAACATTATATAGTGTTTTCAAGAAAATACTTTATCTTGCTGTAAAACTTACATTTTCAACTTTCTAGATCAACAGTTACTGATTTAGAATTTTAAGTGCTGTGATTCACATCGGGGTAAGAAAGCATGTGCTTATGAAGAACAAAAGACAATCATTGCATTTTAAAATTTCTAGACATCGACAACAGTCTCTACTCTTTACAATGCTAATCTTTGTCCATGGATTCATTGATAGTTGACAACTCAAAGGATTAAAGTACAAAACACATAAAATGCACTCCCATTATCGTCAATACAACCCAGTTAAAATCTGGTTTCTTGGAAGATCTATGTAGGGAATTTTTACTGTTTTACTCAGAGTATTGGTGTACATCTAAAGACTGCGTGTACAATTACATTGCATGTAATCCTAACACTATAGTGTAAAATTGTTTAGTCATACCTTTGAATGGTTGAAAAAGTTAGGTGTATTCTAAATTCACTGGAAATTAAAAGAACAATATATTTCAATACTGAATTGTAGGTGAAGATGATACTAACAATAAATAATAATCTGGTTTTCTATCCCCCAGCTTCTGATATAATTATATCTGTTGACTTGTACTACAAAAGAAACTATGTTCTGTCTTCTATCTTAATACCATTTTCTCTATATGTCACAAGTGTCTGATTTTTATTCTTTCTTTGAACTTACTGGTTAATCTTGAAGGACAAGATTCCTGTAACCCCTCATCAAACATCCTTGTGATTCTCTGAAAAGAATTCAAACAATTCAAGCCACTGACATCCTAATCTTAGTAAATACACTAAAGCAAAAGTCTTAAGCCTTCAATAGCGAATGCTCTAGTAAGCATCTTTCAGTCTTATATAAGCATCTTGATGAGCACCTTCATAAAGGCATATTAAAGTCATAATCGCCAGTCACTTTTTTCAACATTCTGGTCTTACAGAAAGATCAAGAAAGTATTTGTTCATCTGTGATAAAGCCAGAACCATGTTTTAAAGCTAAGACAACATGTCACACTTTTTCCACTTCCCAGATGAGGTGGCAGAGAGGCCCTGGGTGGGACAGCTCCCCGAAAGATGGGAAACCCCATAAACTTCCCTCAAGGGTTTTCCCCTCCTCTTCCCTTGATAACAGTGCCTCTTTTTTGACTTTCAGACAGTATGATGTTTGCACAAGAAAAGAAAGTACATATCCTGCTAGGTGATATATATATATATATATATATAATTTTGGAGTCCAGCACAAGGTGAAAATATGGAGCTTTTCCTCAAACACTAAGATTTCAAGGTGGCAACAGGAGAGTAGTGAGCCAAGCAGGGGCCCTTCTCACAGTGGAGCTCCAGGGGACTGCACAGGTTATATGGTCAAAAAGCAATGCCTGCTTAGGTTTCCTACCTAATCGGAATCTCAGGGAACAGACAAGGTAGTTCAGATGGGTTTTTCAGATGAAAAACAGAAAATTTTTAATAATGGTTCAAACACTGTCACACCACTGATTTCGGACCATATAGCATTTCACTTTCAAAATTCCAGGAAAATTTCTATTTCTAAAATTTCAGATGGATCAATCTTCCCCTGAATTTCTCATTCTAGAAATAGTCATAACTGGGTCTTTTAAATGCCCTTTACTTTAAAAGAGCGATTAGTCAGACATGATGAAATTTCTGTATTAATCTTGTACGATTTTTTAAAAAATCCAGACATTTCACAAATGGGAGAGGTATTATTATAAAGCAACAGGGCATCTAAAAGGGAAAAGTAGCTGTACAACAGCATTATATACTAGGGTGAAGCCTTAGTGTTAGCCTATGGTATGTTCTGTTCCCTTTTAAGATCATATGAGTAGTTTTTTTCAAATAGAACTAATAGACACATTAAGCTGTATGTGGATTTTTTTTCTAACACCCATATTTGTTTCGGTCACAAGAATTTTTCTGGAACCCAGAAGTATCCCAGTCTTCATAATAGTAAAAAAATGTATGTTTATAAAAGCTCTGGTTACATTACTAAGCAACGACATTTTCGAGAGTGAATATACTTCCTGTATTCCGCAAGCTGCTTCAAGTACATATTCGATGGCCATCTGTGCTTTTCAACAAAACTGCGTTCTTCCACTAAAAGTTTTAGAGAAAGATTGTTAATTAAATATATCTTATTTGGGGTCAAGTTAAGATACTGACTATTGATTTCCTATTTAACAGATGAGATTCAAGCCACATACAGTATCTCCCTCAAGTTTTCCAAAATCATGAATACAATTTTTGTTAAATCAGTCATCAAGATTTATGTTATTACGTGATTTACAAGTATACACATCTTGTCCACTGCTTCATCAGAAGTATTTGATTATGCTCCTTTTTTTTAACTGAAATTTGTTTTTCCTGGAAATAATCAGCGTCTCTTTTTTTCATTTAATTTTCTCTGTAGCTAACACTACCTTCCAAACTCTTTCAAGTCTTTCCCATTGCCTTTTCACTAGCTACTCTTCCCAGATCACCTGTGCATTCCGAAGCAGTCATGCTGGGTTTTCCCTGGAGGCCTTTCCCATCAGTGTCTGGCACCCCTGACTTCCTAGGCCTGTGTCCTGTTTCCAGGCAAGAACCCTCCACTCCTGGACTCCAGGTCCTTCACTTTGGTTATTATTCTCTACTTTGGGTGAAGCACAACTTTTATCAGTTTCCCCAAAAGCGGGTTACATAAGAAGTATTTTTGAGACCTTGTCTGTGATGAAACATCTTTGGTCTATCCTCACACACAACTTATAATTTGGTTTGGTCTAGAATTCTAGGTTGAAAATTTTCCTTAGAATGTTGAAGCCAGCACTGTACTGTTTTCTAGCTCTCAAAGTTAAGATATCCACTACTATTCAGACTCAGGGTCCTTGGTAGGTGAGCTGTGTGGGTTTTTTTATCATGCAAACAAGATATTTCTATTATATCATTGGCACGCTTTCATGACCCAGGATGCACCTTGTTCACTCACTGGGGTGAGCACTACCCCAGCCCTTCCAGTCTGTTGACTCAGGTACTTTAGGACTGAGGCAGTTTCTTGTACTATTTCTCAGATAACTTCCTACCCATTTTTTTTAAAGATTATTTATATAACAACTGGGGTACAGGCCAGATGTGTGGGAGGGTGAGAGGATTCACCAAAGACAGAGTGGGGAACAGAACAGGCAGACTGAAATACACTGCTAAGGGGAGCATCGGGCAAGATAGGAGAGGTCTGCCTCGCCATGTGGGTTGCTCCACGGGCAGGGATTGAACCGGCACTGCAGAGGCTGCGGACAGCTTCACAGCGCTGTGCTCAACTGCCTGTGCCACCAGGGAAGCCCCCCGTGTTTTTTTTTTTTTTAAGCATAACTTCTATTACTAACCTCCTAGATTGTCTCCAATTAAATAAAAAAGACAAAAGTGTTTCTCTCCTACCTGTCTTTAGCTTCTTGTACTTTTGAGAGGGGTTTCCTTACCTTTATCTTATCTTTCAACTTTTATTTAGCTCATTTTTTGGTTTGTTTTGTTTTGTTTTTTTTTTTTTTAATTAATAAATTTTATTTTTATATTCCCCATACAATTGCAATCCCCCCATTCTGACCCCAATCCCTCCCTCCCGCCCCCCACCCCCAAAAAGTGTCTCTGGTTCATAGTTTTTGTTGATTTTGATTTTCACTTTCTTATAGTTATTCATTTTCCTGGTCCCTTATTTAAGTTTTCTAGATCCCTGCTATGAGTGAGACCATCCGGTATTTTTCTTTTTCTTTTTGGCTTATTTCACTGAGCATGATCCCTTCCAGCGTCATCCATGTTGCTGCAAATTGCATGTGTTTATCTTTTTTGAATGATGAGTAATATTCCATGGTATATATGTACCACATCTTCTTGATCCAGTCATCTATTTTTGGGCATTTGGGCTGTTTCCAAAGCTTAGCTATTGTAAACAGTGCTGCTATAAACATAGGGGTGCAGGTGTTCTTTGGAATTGATGTTTCTGTGTTCTTTGGGTAAATACCTAGGAGTGGAATTGCTGGATCCTGTGGAAGCTCTATGTTTAGTAGGTCCAGAAATCTCCACACAGCTCTCCATAGTGGTTGGACCAGTTTGCACTCCCACCAACAGTGCAGAAGAGTTCCTTTTTCTCCACAACCTCGCCAACATTTGTTGTTGCTAGTTTTTTTAATATGTGCCATTCTCACTGGTGTAAGATGGTATCTCATGGTAGTTTTGATTTGCATTTCCCTGATTGCAAGTGATGTTGAACATTTTTTCATATGCCTGTTGGCCATTCGCATTTCCTCTTCAGAGAAGTTTCTTTTTAGTTCCTCTGTCCATTTTTGACTGGATTATTTTCTTTGTTGTTGTTGAGTCTCATCAGCTCTTTGCAGATTTTTGTGATCAGTCCTTTATCATTAGTGTTGGGTGCAAAAATTTTCTCCCAGTTGGTGGGGTTTCTCTTTGTTTTTGTTATTGTCTCTTTTGCTGTGCAGAAGCTCTTTAATTTGATGTAGTCCCAGCTGTTTATCTTTGCCTTCACTATCACTGCTTTGGGTGATGCGTCTGCAAAGATGTCTTTGATATGCAAATCACGTAGTGTTTCGCCTATATTTCCTTCTATGTATTTTATGGTTTCAGGTCTTATGTCTAGTTCTTTAATCCATTTTGAGTTGATTTTTGTATATGGTGTGAGGTAGTGGTCAAGCTTCATTCTTTTGCATGTAGCGACCCAGTTTTCCCAGCACCATTTATTGAACAAACTTTCTTTGCTCCAATGCATAGTCTTTGCTCCTTTGTCAAAGATTAGTTGACCATAAATCTGTGGGTTTATTTCTGGATTTTCTATTCGATTCCATTGGTCTGTATGTCTGTTCTTGTTCCAATACCATGCAGTTTTGATGATTATGGCTTTGTAGTAGAGTTTGAAGTCTGGGAGTGTGATGCCTCCATTCCCTTCTTTTTTTTTTCAGGAGAGCTTTGGCTATTCGGGGTTTTTTGTGATTCCATATGAATTTCATCAATAATTGTTCTATTTCTTTGAAGAATGACATTGAAATTTTGATTGGAATAGCATTGAATCTGTATATTGCTTTTGGTAGGATGGCCATTTTTAATGTTTATTCTCCCAATCCATGAGCAGGGGATGTCTTTCCATTTCTTTGTGTCTTCTTCTATTTCTTTTAACAGTGTTTTATAGTTTTCTTTGTATAGGTCCTTTACCTCTTTTGTTAGATTTATTCCCAAATATTTGATTTTTTTGTTTCAATAATAAAAGGGATGGTTTTTTTGATTTCTTCTTCTTCAGATTTATTGTTTGTATATAGGAAGGCTACTGACTTTTGCGTGTTGATTTTGTATCCTGCCACTTTACTGAACTGATTGATGAGTTGAATTAGTTTTTCTGTGGAGTTTTTGGGGTTCTCTATGTATATTATCATATCATCTGCAAAGAGTGATAGTTTGACTTCTTCTTTTCCTATTTGGATTCCTTGGATGTCTTTCTCTTGTCTTATTGCTCTGGCTAGGACTTCCAGTATTATATTGAAAAGCAGTGGTGAAAGTGGACATCCTTGTCTTGTTCCAGATCTTAATGGAATTGCTTTCAGCTTTCCACCATTGAGAATGATACTGGCTGTTGGCTTGTCATATACGGCCTTTATGATGTTGAGGTACGTTCCTTGTATCCCAAGAATTTCAAGGGCTTTTATCATGAATGGGTGTTGCACTTTGTCGAAAGCTTTCTCAGCATCTATTGATATTATCATATGGTTTTTATATTTCTTTTTGTTGATGTGTTGGATAACGTTGATTGATTTTCGGATGTTAAACCATCCTTGTGTCCCTGGAATGAATCCTACTTGGTCGTGGTGAATTACCTTATGGATACACTGTTGGATTCTGATAGCTAAAATTTTATTGAGGATTTTTGCATCAGTGTTCATTAGGGAGATTGGCCTATAGTTTTCTTTTTTTGTGTTGTCCTTGTTCGGTTTTGGTATTAGTGTAATGTTGGCTTCATAGAACGTGTTAGGTATTATACCTTCCTTCTCAATTTTTTGGAAGAGTTTGTGAAGGATAGGTACCAATTCGTCTCTGAATGTTTGGTAGAATTCATTTGTAAATCCATCAGGTCCTGGGCTTTTGTTTTTGGGGAGGTTTTTGATTACCATTTCAATTTCGCTAATTGTAATTGGTCTGTTTAGGTGTTCTATTTCTTCTTTATCTAGCTTTGGGTGATTGTAGAGTTGTAGGAATTTGTCCATCTCTTCTAGATTGTTAAACTTGTTTCCATATAACTGTTCATAGTAGTTATTAATAATTCTTTTGATTTCTGCTGTGTCCGTTGTGATTTCTCCTCTTTCATTTATTATCCTATTTATTTGTGCTTTCTCCCTTTTTGCCCTTGTGAGCCTGGCAAGGGGTTTATCTATTTTATTTATTTTTTCGAAGAACCAGCTCTTGGTTTCATTGATCTTTTGGATTGTTTTTTTTAGTTTCGATTTCATTTATTTCTGCTTTGGTTTTTATTATTTCTTTTCTTCTACTGGTTTTGGGGCTTTTTTGTTGTTCTTTTTCTAGATCTTTGAGCTTCGAGATTAGGTTGTTTCTTTGAGTTCTTTCTTGTTTCTTGATGTGAGCATCTATTGCTATATATTTTCCTCTTATTACTGCTTTTGCTGCATCCCATACATTTAGGAAATTGGTGTCCTCCTTGTCATTCAATTCAAAGAATTTTTTAATTTCTTCTTTTATCTCCTCGTTAGTCCAGTGGACTTCCAGTAGTGTGGGTTTCAATCTCCACGAGGTAGGAGAATACCTTGCCTTCTCTTTATGGTTTATTTCTAGTTTGATGCCTTCATGGTCAGAAAAGATGGTTGGTATGATTTCAATCTTGGTGTATCTGTTGATGTTTGTCTTGTGCCCCAGTATATGATCGATCCTAGAGAATGATCCGTGTGCGCTTGAGAAAAATGTATACTCAGATTTTTTTGGGTTTAGTGTTCTATATATGTCTGTTAAGCCTAAGCACTCTAGATCCTTATTTAGAGCTTTAGTGTCTTTACTTATTTTTTGTCTTGTTGATCTATCCATTGTTGATAGTGGTGTGTTGAAGTCTCCCACTA